TAGCGTGAGCGTCGTCCTCGACGCGTGCTCGCATGCGGGGGCGGAGGAGCTCGCGATGGACGTGTTCGCGAAGGTGTACGCGTCGGGATTCCAGCTGAACCAGCGGAATTGGGCGAATTGGGTCGAGTGCCTGTGTCGGCTGGGAAAGATTGACGAGGCGACGAAGGTGCTGTGTGTCGCGATGCCGCAGGAGAAGGAGAAAGGCGTGCACCCGACAAAGGAGATCGCGCAGATCATCTTGAATTTTGCTGCTAACCAGAGACGAGAAGAAGAAATTCGCGACCGTATTAAACACTACCTGCCCAAGCTAATTGGTTAGACAGCGTATGTAGACGACGCATGTAGACAACGTTGATATTCGGCACAAAAGTAGATGATATTCAGCTGATTATATAAGATACGAATGACGATATAAACGTGCGATGCGTGTGAGGGTAAGGATAGCAATGTCGATGAGAATGTTTATGATGATGCGTATGGTTGAGCAAAACATCGGGGGCTGGGCTGGGCCATCTAGAGGAATAGAACGCCCTGTCCTAGGGTACACGAAACACACCATAACCCAGAGTTCTTCCGAGAAAAAGGTCTAATGAGATGCTGTCTCCTCGACGGAGGGACAGTCGCACTGTAAACAGCATGTCAGCGAACGATCTCGGACTTGGTAAGCAAAGCGACTCACGATAAGGTTTAAGTCTCCGTACGCTAGAGGAGAGAAAACTTGATGAGTGGTCGACGAAGATAAAGAAATGAATCTACACACCATCATCGATGCGAGAGACTGTCGGCCAGAACTTACGTTCGCGCAGGCCAGGAACAGGGTACGCAGCTTGCTGACGAGAGTAGGGTCTGCCGCGACAATGTAAGGTTCGCGCACAGGAGTACATCCACCCGAGTACTTACCGGTTCCACTCAGCGTCAGACAATGTAAGGGTATGAATAGGGTGGGGAGCGTTCTTCAGGAGGTTGTTGTCTTTGGGCTGCTTGCCGGTGATAATGTCCTCCGCCTCCTTGCGGATGGAGATCATCGCGTCGCAGAAGCGGTCGATCTCCTCGAGAGACTCCGACTCGGTCGGCTCAATAAGCATGCACGTTGAGATTGGCCACGAGCAGGTGGGCGGGTGGAAGCCGTAGTCCTGCAGACGCTTCGCGAAGTCAGTGACCTTGAGACCTGCGGCCTTGTCGAACTCGGAGAGGTCGATGAGCAGCTCGTGCGCGACGCGCCCGTTCTTGTTCTTGTAGCGCAGACTGTAGTATTCCTTGAGCCTGTGCGTTATGTAGTTCGCATTCAGGAGCGCGGTCTTAGTCGAGTTTGAAAGGCCCGAGCCGCCGAGCATCTTAATGTACGCCCAGGAGATGAGCAGGATCGAGGCGCTGCCGTACTGCGCGGCAGAGATGGCGTTGATAGCCTGGTCACCGCCGACGGGAACCACAGGATGTGAGGGAAGGAAGGGCGCCAGGTGTTCGGCGACGCAGATGGGGCCGACTCCAGGTCCGCCTCCACCATGAGGACTATGGAGGGCGATATCAGTCGCGGCGCATATATGCAGATGTTTGACAACTCACATGGCAAAGGTCTTATGCAAGTTCATGTGACAGACATCACCACCGCACTTGGCGGGGCTGGTGAGACCGATCTGGGCGTTGAGGTTAGCACCGTCGAGGTAGACCTGGCCGCCGTTCTCGTGGATGATACGACAAGCATCGGTGACGCCGTCTTCGAACACCCCAAAGGTCGACGGGTAAGTGATCATAAATGCGGCAAGATTGTCCTTGTGCTTGGTCGCTTTAGCCTTCAAATCTTCGAGATCGAGGCTGCCGTCGGGAAGTGACTTCACAGGAACGACCTTCAATCCGGCCATAACAGCTGACTGCGGCGCAATTTAGTTAGGGACCAATGTAAACAGCACAATGCGACTCACTGCAGGGTTTGTTCCGTGCGCACTGACCGGAATAAGGCAAATGTCGCGATGACCTTCGCCACGAGATTCGTGGTATGCCCGGATGACAGAGAGGCCAGCGTATTCTCCCGCCGCTCCTGAGTTAGGCTGGAGCGAGCAGGCGTGGAAGCCGGTGATCTTGCAAAGGTCTTCCTCGAGCTCCTTGATCATCTCGAGATAGCCCTCGACTTGATCTGTAGGCGCGAAGGGATGGACGTTGCTGAACTCGGGGAAGGTCAGTGGAATCATGCTGCTCGTGCTGTTGAGTTTCATCGTGCAGCTTCCAAGCGGAATCATCGCATGCACAAGACCAAGGTCCTTTGATTGAAGGTGGTAGATGTAACGGAGCATCTCAGTCTCCGAATGATGCGAGTTGAAGACGCGGTGGGGAAGGAATGAAGAGGTCCGACGCAGAGATTCGGGGA